AGATGTTATCTGCTCGTGAGTCGACTTCATGCACGGCTCTTCAGGAGTCTCTCAGTGCGGTAATAGGACATGTGATGTTCTTCCCAATGGACCAGTCGCATTCAGATGAAACGTGACCGAGACGTGTGGCGAGATAGAGCAGCCAAGCTTGAAACTGATCATAACGTAGTACACGTGGCGGAGCGAGGCTGGATGAGAAAGAGAGACGTGTCTCTTTTGTCAGTCTAAGATCGAACTTCTCCAACAGAAATTGAACGAATCGCAGAGAATCGGCAACTCCTGCTCGGGTGAGGGTGTAGAAAATGGACAGTGAGTGGAGCATTGCTGTCTGTCATCCCTCAGAAACGATGCGAGAAAGGCTCATGCGTTCGGCCTCTGAGGTTGGTAGTTTGAGAGCGGAAGTGACGAAGCTGAAAGCAGGTGACTACTGCCTAGTACTGTGTTGCCATCATGGCTTTTTACCACTCCCTTGGTAGATTGCGATGCCTCGGTTGCGGTGAATAAAGCACGCGAGGAGCGGTATAAAGTGATGGAGGAGTTCTTCTCGACGTATTCAAGTTGGGATAGTGCAGGATGAGTTGACGGATTGATGGTAGGTATCAAACAGACTTGGATGCGCGGCAAGAGGAATGTCGCAATCTTCACGATGCGGAGAAAGAAGCGACTGCCAAAATGCTGAAGATGGAAGAGGAGCGACGAGAGGATGTTCGAAAGGTAGTTAATGGGGATCGTATGGGGAGTAGTAGATCATGGCCACAGGCTGAACGTTTGGAGGAGGAACGGGCTGTTCTTAAAGAGCAGAAGCAGTGTAGATGCCTAGCATCTAATGAGTCTCTCAAAAGCGTGTGTCACAAGATGGCGAGTTCATTGGTGAAGACGCAAGTCGATCTTGAAGTGAGTCTAGTTGGTCGGCTCGAACTTGTTCCACATCGGTTCTGCGATAGTATAAGTCGGCAGAGCTGGCTAGAATACAACAGTTGTTGGATGCCGAACAGAGGCATAGCACTAAACTGAAGGAGAGAATGGCGTCTCTACGGAAGCAGGTTGATGTACTGTAGCGGTTCGTGTGGTATTATGCATTCAGTGGTATGTTAATATTAGACCGTCGTTTCTGGTGTTGATGATCACAAGTCGGAGTTTTCTCGGTTGTCTCAAGCGGCTAAGGTGAAGAGGCTCTCGCATGCTCTCGGCGGCGGTATTGAGCGACACTGTCAGGTACAAGAGCTTCAGAATGCCCGAGTGGTGGATAACTACTGGGATGCTCTTCGACAGAAGAATGAGAGTCTTGGGATCATTCAGCGACTGGTGAGGCGAAGTGAAAAGGGATGATCCGGATGGCTGTGCTCAGACCGAGGAGAGGGACGCTCTGCAGAAGCATGTGCAAGCGTTGGAGTCGGCGCATAGGCAGGCTAATGGAGCCTCGATGCAGGAGAATCAGCTTGTAGGGTAGAGGAATGATGAGTTGACGGAAGTGTGGTATGCAGGCACAGCAGAGCAATAATAATAGTCTTGCCGCTATGGGCCAGTGTAGGATGCAACTTGAGGTTGGTTTGTTCTGGGAGGTTATGCTTGAGAACTGAATCCTTAGACGATAGTAGCGGAGCAGAAGGAGAAGATGGAGTCGTTCAAGAGCACCATAACAATGCTCAAAGGTGCCGTGTCGAAAATCGTGATGGCATTTACTATTGTGTCTGTGCTCGCAAGGTGTGGCTGATAAATGTCAAGCTGATTGCAGGGAGAAGAATAAGAGGATTCTGGAGGTGGAGAAAACTAATATTAGACTAACTCGCCAACTTGAGAAAGTGGGTCTACCGGTGTTCCTTGCTTGCTGAGAAGAGTGAGTTGCAAGTCTTCTGTGTTTCTCTTAGGCACGATCGTTGGGCAGCGGACACGTAGTTGGAGTGGAAGGTAACGACATCGTTCGTGATGGTAGCTTGTAGTAGTATGATGCCTCCTCAGGGTCTGGTCAATCACCATCGCCTGGGGCAGTAGTGGATGATAAGGCTCAGGCAATGTCTATCATAGAGCAGGAGGAGGTTCGAGCTTACCGAGTAAATGATCGACATGGTCGTGAAATTCGATGAAGTCTTCTTTCGTGCAGTTGAAAGTGAAGTGCTCGATCTGCCAGCAGAATGATAAGCAGGTTGCACTGCAAAAGTGCATGCATTGTTTCTGTCGAACTTGTGTTAACGAGACCATGGTAGGAGAGTTCGCCTGGAGGCTAACCCACGTCCATTATCATCAGATACAAGCACGGAATAGGAAGTGTCCTCTGTGCGGCCAGAGATTCTCCGAGTCTGATGTTCGAACGGTAGGAATACACTGGATGCTATGGGTCCTAGGTCGATGGGTAGATACACTTATTGGAAGTCGGTGAGTGATGAAAATGAGTGTCGAGAATTTACGATTCTAATTGTATAATGTGTATACTTCTGCTGAAATGTGTTTCCGAATATTGGTATTTTTGTTATAAGAGTCTGTGCATCACATCTAAGGATGATGACAGTAGTCTCGGTGAGGAAGACGAGCATCGCAGATTCTTGAACGACTGAAAGTTTATATTCACACACCGCAATGGTAGAGTAGTGATGTTATGAACGGTGGGTTACTGGTTCAACGGTTGGGTGGGAACATATGTTGGGTTTCATCGACTGAAGTCGTAGGTTTCCTCACTATATTGTGAGAATCTACACGGTTTTGGGTAGAAGTGTACAAAAACCTAGGATAATTTCCCAAAATTTCCTCAGAATTTTCATATTTTTAGCAAAAAATTTGTGGTTGATCATGTGCATACATTCCTCCCCCCCACACTGGGCCAACCTCTTCCCCTCTACCATCAGCGGTAAACTAGATCAAAATGAGCTGGGACTAAGAAATTAGAGATAGTTCACGGAAGCCTTGAAGTAGTCACAGTATTGCAGGCTCACGAGAGATGTCGTAAACACATGCCATAGCAGTCTATCTCATGCACTCTTACAGGCTGTAATCATTGACACAAGTGGCGCTATAACACGACCGGGATGAAGCTGAGGTAACGGATCGACGCAACTTGTGTAATTGTCGATGCATCTACATGAGAGCACTAAGGAGGAGCAGGTAAGGAAGGCCTTGTTAGATTGATTATAGTACGACGAGCCACTACTGAACATTGCACTTCGGTTGTCGCCCCGTAGCGAGCTAGACACAGAATCTTAGCTGGTAACAATACGAATGTCTACATTTCCAAACCAAGGCATGGTGTAGAGTGGGGTTCATTTCATAGTTTGACCAGCTCAATTAGCGTTGTAGTTCTTTTACGCTCTTTCATGTCTATTTTCGCTCACAAGTGGATCGTGCTATCAGTGGTTTCTGCTTCGGTTACCTCCTGTTTCTCGTCATCTGTTCAAGATGACTATTGCCGGAGATTTGTTGGTCGTGATTCCTATTGTGACCATTCAATCTGCCACGGTAGTCTCAATAGCTGTACCGAGTCCGCGATCATCAACAGTGTACTTGGACGACGCCAGGCTGATGCTGATGTTGTAGACTCGGATGTTAGCATGTCGAGTGGTGCAACTGGTGTTCAAACCATGCTTGTTACGAACTGGGATGACTACTGTCGTGACAAGGTTGGTGTGGCATCTTATTGTAAAACGTGGGACCGGTTTCCAGTTTGTCAAGGATCTGATGTGAGCTGTGGTGACGGTGAAATTGCCACTTCTACTATTCCGGAAACTACTCGAGCTGCTGGTGATAAAACTACTGTTCCAGTGACTACGACACGTTCGGCTGCAGTGCCTACGACTAGTGGTGGAACGGTTAACTGGGATGAATATTGTCAGAAGGAAGTGGGACCCACTTCATATTGCAAGATCTGGGATGCATCACCAGTATGTCAAGGCTCGAGTGTGAGGTGTGGTAATGGTGCTGTGGTGACGACAGAGCATAACTTCTACCCTACTACTCCTCATTCTGGAGGTGACCATGAGTACTGTCCAGGTATGCCTGCTGGTGAGTATTGTGGCAACATCAATGGCGAAATGGCTCTATTCCTCATCGAAGGAGACGTGTTCTTTTTCGATTACCGATATATTCATGGGGTAAAGGTTAACCTGAAAGAAGTCCCCTTCCATCTGTACAATTGCGAGGAGTTCGTGCCCGATTACTCAAGTTGGCAGATGGAGCGTTTAGCCCGAGAGTTGGGTCTGACCACCGATCAGCTTCGTCAGAAACTTACCATCACGTATCGTCGATCTAGTGATAGCTTCCACTTTTATTGGGAGCCGAATGTCTCGACAAGTATGTATCATGACGAGTGTTGAGCCTGAGAATGGTCGTCATCATCATCACGGTTACTGAAGTGCTCTTTCCTGAGCTTGTTGTCTGCTATGCTCCTCTCAGAGCTGTCTATCACCTTTTCTTTCGTCTAAGTCGATGAAATACTACTGGCTGTACTTCTTTTTTTCCGAGAGGTTCCTAGCGTGAACGCCGTGTGGATTGCACGGTACGGTCATGCGCAGCTGGCGTCTTCCAGCTTTCATCTGTGCGACCTTTGGTTGCCTATTTGAGCATTATGCTCTGCTGTGTGGCTCGTTTTTTCCTTCTACTCAACTTGGTATGTGTAATGCTTTGAGTTCGAGTGAGGTTAAACCGGAGTTCGTAAGGGAGATTCATCTTGGTTAATCATCAATTAATCGAAGACTGAGAATCATAGTTGTATCTTTCAAATCATTTCAATGCTAGAAGATACAATATCGAGAGAGTCGATCTTTCATGCATCGCGTTGTGTCTGAGCGATTCTCTGCTTCAGAGCTAGTATTTGACCCTATACTTTGATCGATCTGAAGTTGTAGTAGACACTACCAAGCGTCATCATCAGTTCGGGCTTGATTATCGTTTACAACTCAAAACTGCGAACAGAGTTGGGCTATCGGAGGTCCGCATCATGTTACATGTTAGTAACAAGTTGGCATTGGAAGTTAACCGCATGCTTATATCATCCATAATGCCCAGCACGAGTCATGGTCAGCAGAGCTAAACCCGTCGTCTCGGGGTCGCGAATGGCAACGCCTCTCTCTTCCCTGACCGAAGTTCCATCCTAGATACTCAATCAAGCTCAATACCCTTATATGAATACTTGACCCTTGCGCCGGGAGTGGTATGTAAGCAATGATACGATAAGAAGATAACATAATATTATTACTTCAGTGACATTCGGTGGCATGTTCAATAGACCTCTCATGAGTGTTAAGAGTCCTCCCAGGATGGAGTTTTACGTATAAAATTTAATCCCAAAGGCACTTTCGAGACGCAGGAGAGGTCTAAACTCCGATAAGGCCACAAACCTCATTGGTAATCATCATCATTTTTGGCTCACTTGCAGTTCTTGCGTTTCTCTCAACGACTTCATCAGACGCATCATTAAAGATGGTATAGTGTTGGTTTGCTACAGGACCCTTTTATTACAATGTCGGAACATCATGGGAAAGGGAAAGGGTACCGTGGAGGTAAAGGAAAGGGCAGTCGAGGAGGTAGTAGGGCTAAGCATAGGGCTGATAGAGAGGATGTTGATACAGGCGATCACCATCGTAGTTCTATAAGGCCTTCCGTGATTGACCTGGAACGCTTGATGCATCAACGTGTCACTGTTAAGCTCACAGGAGGACGCGAAGGTAGTGGTCAATGCATGGTCCATGCCTGGTCTATTGATCTCTCCTTCAGTAAGCGGTGTTTTGAAAGGCTTCGATCCAGTCCCTAATCTAGTCCTCGATGAGAGCATTGAATATCTTAGAGATCCAGAAGACCCATACAAGCTCTCAGGGAAGACTCGGAATTTGGGTATTGTCTAAGCTTAGCGATGTAGCGACGTCCCTGTCTCGTATTAGGTCTACTTGTTGCCCGCGGCACGTCTGTAGTGTTGGTGTGTCCAAGCACTGGTATTACTGAGATCGACAACCCCTTTACGGAGGTACCTACCGAGTAGTGTGCATATACACATTTCCTTACGTATGCTCTTCTTGTTGCGTTCAAGTATCCAATCCTGACTCCTGACTGCGTCGCTTTGTTTTGGACGGTCTCAGGGGTATGTCGAACCAGTGTATGGTTGTGGCCTTAGGCTCAGGACAAGCTCTCAATTAAGGCCTAATGCAACGTCGAAGAGGGTTCCACTGAACTAAGCGATATAGCGTAGTGGAGTAATGGGGCTCACTTGGTCGAACTCGTTTGACATTAGGCGTTCGGGTCGTGCCTCTGCAGTGTTGAGTACTGCTCTTGTGTCCCCGAACTCCCTGTCCGACACTATGGGGTTCAACCACCTCTTTCCGGTGCGGGCAACGATCATATTGTGGGGGAGAGGATGCTTTCGGGAAGCATATGAGAATGTGGATATGTGGGTTATCAAGCTCATAGATTGCGGTCCATGCGTCGCCATATCCACTGGAGCGGGCATCTATTACCCGTTCCAGGGCGACTCTCAGACGTTCCACTTTGTGCCTCATCGGACTCTCTGTGCATTGATCCTTGCGCTCATGTGGGACGTGGCGCCGCATATGGTTGGTGATCGGTAGCTCAACTGGGATAATTTCAAGGTCGACTGTGTGGTGGAGGACAGTACCATTATAATAACCCTTTCGCGAAACAGGATGAGCCATTAGTCGGAGCACTACTTCTTGGGAATGCGGAGTAAAGCACGCTCAGGTCTAGACGCAAAGCTTGCGATATCTTCATGCACTTTTGATTACATCGCCTAAGGGAGGCATTCGTGGTTGATTCGGTGTCGTAGGCAACTCTTGAACCGCTTTTCGCGAAAGCGTGGTTTATTCCTTGCGGTTGAGTTCCGAAATTATTATGCTGAAAATGTTGAGCAAAGCATTGATGCCTCACGCAACAATCTGGCAAACTGATGGTGGTCAAGCGATGGCAGGCCTATTGGAAATTAGTATAGAGCCAACGAGTAAAGGATTGAGCCTCTCTCGAGTATAGTCTGCTGTAGCAAAACCGTTTTTCTCGTGGAGAGGTGTTCTTAATGATGTCATAGGGTATCATATCACAGCTGTCGAGGCTGGAACCGGATATCAACCTGCGACCGCTTTGTAGCCGACACAGACGGGTGAAAGAGTGTACAAGAGGGCCACGAAATAATATAACATAGTCCCGGCATCATGCAGATGATGAATGTGTGAATGGAAAGGCTGTTCTTGAATGACCGTGAGCGGTTGAAGCGCAAAGCCACATCGTTAGTGTCAAGCTAAGGGAAGCTTTGTGGACACTAGGGTTATTAAGAACGAATCAAATTTTTCCATTTCGACAAAAATGCGAAACGTGAAACGTTTCGCTCCGCTCGGCTTTGACCTTAGCTCATAATGGTTGGCGCTGACTTTACTCCTTAGAGTTGTGATTAGTCGACACCATGTCATCTACTGCTGCTGCTGCTACATTCAACCCCTTCTTGGACCCCTGCTATGACGAGTCATGGGGATGCACTTTCAACAGTATGTCCCCATACATGTGGTAAGTGTAGAGCGAGTGAACTACAGCTATTAAAGTCGATTAATGTCATTCAATGTAATGATGATACTGTCAGGGCTAACCTCGGCATTACCTTCTCTCTGGCTTTCTCCGTTATTGGCGCCGCATGGGGTATATTCCTGACTGGTTCTTCATTGGTTGGAGCTGCTGTACGTGCTCCTAGGATCAAGTAATGAGTGGCAACAGGAGTCATGGGTTTGACTTGCGAATACGACCGCCGTTCACAACATTGATGTTTCCATCTAATCTGTGTGTCACAGGTCCAAGAATCTTGTTTCCATCATCTTCTGTGAGGCTGTCGCTATCTATGGTGTTATCATGAGTATCATCATGAACTCCAAGATGGAGGGTGCTAGAGAATTCGTTCCCCCAGCTATCCCCACTGGTGAGTAGATTTCCTTTCTTGTTGTTAGCATATCATTCTTCAACAGGTAACATGGCTGTTGCCCAGGCTGCTGGATACTGCCTCTTCGCATGCGGTCTCTCTGTTGGTTTCTCTAACCTCTTCTGTGGTGTCTGTGTCGGTGTCTCTGGTTCCGGCTGTGCTCTTGGTGATGCTCAGAAGC